TATAAATAGTAACAGTGCTTTAAATAGAAATGATATACTATAAATAGTAACAGTGCTTTAAATAGAAACAATATACTATAAATAGTAACCGTGCTTTAAATAGAAACGATATACTATAAATAGTAACAGTGCTTTAAATAGAAATGATTTACTATAAATCGTAACAGTGCTTTAAATAGAAACAATATACTATAAATAGTAACAGTGCTTTAAATAGAAATGATATACTATAAATAGTAGCAGTGCTTCAAATAAAAATGGTATGCTATAAATAGTAACAGTGCTTTAAATAGAAACAATATACTATAAATAGTAACAGTGCTTTAAATAGAAATGATATACTATAAAAAGTAACAGTGCTTCAAATAAAAATGATATACTATAAATAGTAACAGTGCTTTAAATAGAAACAATATACTATAAATAGTAACAGTGCTTTAAATAGAAACAATATACTATAAATAGTAACAGTGCTTTAAATAGAAACAATATACTATAAATAGTAACCGTGCTTTAAATAGAAACGATATACTATAAATAGTAACAGTGCTTTAAATAGAAACGATATACTATAAATCGTAACATTGCTTCAAATAGAAACAATATACTATAAATAGTAACAGTGCTTTAAATAGAAACGATATACTATAAATAGTAACAGTGCTTTAAATAGAAACGATATACTATAAATAGTAACAGTGCTTTAAATAGAAACAATATACTATAAATAGTAACAGTGCTTTAAATAGAAACGATATACTATAAATAGTAACAGTGCTTTAAGTAGAAACAATATACTATAAATAGTAACAGTGCTTTAAATAGAAACGATATACTATAAATAGTAACAGTGCTTTAAATAGAAAAGATACTTACACTTTGCACTGCTCTGTAGGCTATGTAAGCTAATAACTCAATGACAATCTCATGAACTTTAACATCAGCAACCAATGACTGGAGACACAACCAATCTTTGAACTTTTTCTCTAAAGGTAGGAGGAGCTAGTTATTAATGTGGGTGGAGCTAATTATTAATACATTAATTGAGCCGGTTGACGTACTGTTAACAAATGATGCTCTCCTTGACTGAGTAAAGTCATTGTACTGGGACAAGCTCATTGACTTGGTGTGTTCATCCAACTTCTAATTAATGGATCCACATGCAATAGTAATAATAATAATAATAATAATAATAATAATAATAGTAATAATAAGTTGTGAAAAATACCAAAGCCATTTTTTGGAAAAAATCATGCATGATTTTTTCCAAAAAGTGGCTCCGAAATCACCCCAAATTTTTATCACATTTTCTGATACATATTGATGTCCTTATGCCGTGTAGAAAGTTTGAGTCGATTCCGACAAAAAATTTTTAAGTTACAGCTATTTTAAAAAATCGGCCAATTTTTGAAAAATACCCAAGGCTATAGCCCATGGTTTTTTCCAAAAAGTGGCTCCGAAATCACCCCAAATTTTTATCACATTTTCTAATACATATTGATGTCCTTATGCTGTGTAGAAAGTTTGAGTCGATTCCAACAAAAAATTTTCAAGTTACGGCCATTTTAAGAAATTAGCAATACATTAGAGAATAAACTACATGTAGCTGACCTGCTGATGTTCAATGTCATAATCTTTGTATTGCAATAATTCTACAAATAAACAAACAAATAATTAATCACTGAAGGACAGGTAGTGTGGACCCACAGGCTTGTACCAATTGGGACTTTACAACTACATGTACATGAATATCCCTAAGTGTGTGTGTGTGTGTGTGTGTGTGTGTGTGCGTGTGTGTGTGTGTGTGTGTGCGTGTGTGTGTGTGTGTGTGTGTGTGTGTGTACATTGTATTGCTTCCTCCATATTACCAGCCCATTATTATTATAATTATTATTCTGTTAAAGGTTTCCTATACCCACCAGGTGTCCACCAATAACCACCGCACACACACACCATACCCAGTACAGCCAGTACTACAGTGTTCATCTACAG